TGCATAATAATTTTTTTTGGGTGCACAGCAGCCGGCTGGTAGCTTACCGGAACGATGCCCATCCGGTACCGGTAGGTCAGCCAGCTTTCACCAGTTGTTTTTTTCTCTCCTTTTTTCTTTGTATTGCGGCACAGTAGCTGAGGTGTTTCCCACCTCTAGCTAACGTGTATGGTGATGATGATGCACATGCCTAGTTGGGGAATCATGCGTACCAGACGTACACGAGGCATTGGTTGGGCCGTAGTCCGTTCCACACTGGATGCATGGAACCACTGTTTGAGTCTAGCACGGCAACGAGGACCGTGCACCCCGTCCTCCAAGCAACGATTCACAGTCTCCTGGAGCCAGTAATCGAGGTGGAGGGTGTTAGATGGGTAGATACACTGGCAACATGCACATCAAGCGCAGTCACACCAACATAGAATATAAAGGAAAACAAACACGTAACAGTTACACCGAATATGCAGCAGAATAAGAGAATTAAACAAAGCAAATAAAGTGGAATGACTTTATCCAGATTAAGTGTAAGTTGGTTTAGTCCAACAGCGGCGAAGGAAGCATCATGAATGCAACATCAACCTCAGCATGAGGCGCGATACCTAACATGGTTGGCGGCATCCGGTTCCGGATTTGCTTGGCACTGTGGCCAGCCACAGTACGCCTGCGCCTACAGAGGGACCATGGATGGCTTGCGCTGCACCACCCACACACCCCATATCCAGTGTAAACCCGAAGGAGTAAGACCGGGAGGCATGTGGATTGGAGCCATGTTTCATCAACGGAGCCGGCTCACGCTCCTTCACAGGCAAACATAAGCACGCTGTATTAGGGAATCAATCGCACACAAAACATAATGTCGACCGTACCAACATAGTTGATAAGTGGGGTAGAGCCGCCAGACTGTGAATGTACCGTCAGTGTCATGTGGGAATCAGTATATTTTACCACTATATATGTACATGCCATATTTCATCCTAAAAGATTAATCGCATGTACATACAACCATAACACGGTTATCTATTTGGGAGACGCCTCAAGTTTGCGATAACTCTAACAAATGTCCCATTTCGATTCGTGTGACAATGTCGTGATCCGTCGTCGGGTACAACGATCTCGGAGCGACCTGGTCAATTGCCTCTTTGCGCCACCTTGCATTGTTCTAGCCTTCATACGCGCGCGCACACACACACAGACCCAAGGAAGTCATTAATCTGAGTTAACCGACAGCTAGGACTTCTAGAATCATTGACGTGTGTCAATCTAAGCAAGGACACAGGCAGCATTTTCGATACAGTCAATTGCGTCTATAAAGTTTTCAAATCCAATCCTAAGGAAACCATGTTCTTTCAAAGATCTCCCAAAATAGTCCTTAACACTTTCAAATTGAATCCAACGGGCGCAAGCACTTTAACAAATATGTACTGCCCAATGAGTGAGTAATCCCAAATCAGCCGATAGTGTAACAGATGAGTACGTAAAGTGGGATTCCCCTGGCTTATTTCGGATTGATCACTCAGCGAACAGTAGCATTTGGGTGTTGGTAGCACCCGTTAGATGCAACTGGATAGCGTTAAGGACCATCGCGATAAATTTTGAGGGGATGTGATTTCCCTAAGGTGGAATTTGAAAGCGTTGTAGATGCAATATGCTAGTGGCCAGAAAGTCGACTAAGTGAAGAAGAAGTAAAAACACACTATACCTCATCATCTGGCCTCGATTATCGTTCGTCGCCTCACTGCAGAACGCGAATCTCGGATCAGAGAAGAGCAGGCCGGTTTTCGCCCAGGACGTGGCTGTATAGACCATATATTTACTTTGCGGCAGGTGCTAGAGCAGCGCCACGCATACCGCAGACCGACAATAGCTGTGTTCCTCGATTTCAAGAGTGCGTTCGATTCAGTCGATCGATCGATTCTGTTCGAAATACTTGCGCGGAAAGGTGTTCCCACGAAATATGTGAACATCCTTCGTGCTCTATACTCGAACACTACAGGCCGCGTCAGGGTCTATGGTGCCCTATCGGATAGCTTTTCGACTACAAGTGGCGTTCGACAGGGTTGCCCGATTTCCCCGTTTTTGTTCAATTTTGTTGTGGATTCTATCATGGAGTGTTCCCTTGCGGAATCTCACGATGTAGGTGTTGAAGTGCTGCCTGGTGAACGGTTAGTTTATCTAGATTATGCGGACGATATCGTCTTGCTTTTCGACAATGTTGAGGCGGCACAATCAACCCTGAATAGCCTGTCCAGAGTGGTCCCATTATTTGGTATGCACTTCGCACCTTCAAAGTGCAAAGTGTTGCTGCAGGACCACTAGCCACTTGATGACCCCTTGACGCTTGCTAACGAGCAACTCGAGGTGGTTGATCAATTCACTTATCTTGGCAGCTGCATCAGCAATGATGGGCGCACAGAAACTGACGTGAGCTCACGCATTGCAAAGGCCAGAGCTGCCTTCTTGAACCTGCGTCATCTTTGGCGACAGAAGGGAGTTTCCCTCCGTCTGAAAGGCCGTGTATACAAGGCCACAGTGAGGGCCATTCTGCTCTATGGGAGTGAAACTTGGCCCCTTCGGTCTGAAGATCTGAGGGGCATTCAAGTCTTGGATCATCGTTGTTTGCGAAGCATTGCTGGTGTCGGATGGCACCAGCGTGTCCGCAACGATGATGTGCGTAGGCGAGTACTAGGTGGTGATAATCATGCTAGCTCCCTAGAACAACAGATAGCACTGAATAAGTTGCGTTGGCTCGGGCACGTGCTACCTATGCCTGGTCACCGCCTACTTAGAAGGGCCTTGTTCAGTCTACCAGGTGTAGGATGGCGCAAGGCTCGGGGTGGACAGAAGTTGACTTGGCAGCGGGAAATGAAGTCACTGACGACCAAACTGGGTGCCGTTGGTCCGTCTCGCCTTCCGGGTTGGAGTCCACGTGACTCACCTTGTGCTTGGCTCGAGACTTTACAGGACATGGCTCGCAACCGACACCAGTGGCGCGTCTGCTGCCGTCTCCTAATCGAATTGCCTGTTTAAAGTGTGTTTGTTGCTGAGTTATCTGCGGGGCAATGACTGATTATGACGCGTGGCAGTGAAAGCCGCAAGGAAGCTGTCTCGCCGATGCCGCCTTATCTTTGCACGATAGCCAGCTGTTTGTGACGGAATGTTGTCTACACAAGGTGTAGGCGCCTTGACCCTGAATGTTTGCTTAGGGCATTAAGGTTTTCAGGTAAGTCCCCCTTCTCTCCCTTTTCTAATTTTTTTATTTCATAGGTCCTCATGGTTGTATGGCAGCGAAACATCAGTTCAAATGGCTGATGTACTGCTGTTGATGATGATGATGATACCTCATCATCATCATACACGTTAACTAGAGGTGGGGAACACCTCAGCTACTGTGCCGCAATACACAGAAAAAAAGAATGCAACTGGTGCAAGCCGGCTGAGCTACCGTTAACGGATGGGCATCGTTCCGGTACGCTACCAGCCGGCTACTGTGCATCCAAAAAAATTACTATGCAAAATTATATAAGGCTAAATAATGAGATCGTGGATGAAGGGAGAGGCTAAGAGGGATGGGGTGTGACAAAAAACTCACAGCACGAACGCCACTGAGGTCGGCTCCTAGTCATATCAGCAAGTGTGTCCAACCAAACGTGTTCATCATCTTTCGGACCCCAACCAGGGAGCCGAGACGCTCCAACCGAGGCCAGCTCAGAAGTGAGGGCCATCATTCCTCTCGACCAAGTCATCGCTTGGCCACCCCTCCTCTTCTTCCATCCACACCACCCCCGGCGCGCAAACAACGCACGTCGCGGGAGTCGGTGGGCTGGCATGCGTAACACGTGGCCGAGCCATCGGAGTAAAGATACACCGGCTCCAGTTCCGCAACAGGCTGGCGAATCCGTGCAGACCTCGGTCAGGAGACGATTGCATTGGCTCAAGCTTAACTTACGGCACAGACAGCGTGCAGTCTGACTCACACACTCTACGACCGTCCGTTGCAGTCTTACCTGGTACTTAGGAGTCTGCGACTACCATACTCAGTGAGGGTAGATCATCACTGCTCCGTTGTACACCTTATTCTGTGTGTTAACTCACGTAGTAAGCGTATCTGTCAATTATTTCCCTATTCATATATCTATCTACAGTTGGTGCAAACTCTTCGGATTTACTCTAAGGCAGTATTTAATTTCCATGCCTAAACAGCGTTTCAAAGCGAATCGAGATGTCAGAACCAAAGATCTGTACAACGCGATACCAAGAAGATATACGAGAGTCAATCGTCGCAGATTCAATAGACTGCTAAAAAGCATTCCTTTTCAGTAACGGACTATTTGTACACGCGGCATTCGGATTCCGTGATATATGTATCGCAGTGAAACATCATCACATTCTCATGGGCCACCGGTATTCGCAGAACGAACGAATGCCTACCCAAACCATGCCAAGCGGGTGTAAAATTCATCGGCTATTCGACCGATGCTAAAAAGTAAGATAGGCGGGGATACTGCACCGATGCGTCGATGTCACGTGAGAGATGGGTTTGCGTCAATGTCACCCAGACCTACGCGGTTGATTCAAACCGTGGCGGTACAAGCCAAGAATGAGGATGTCACACTGACGGAAGATTGTTCGGTTTAGCACTGAATACGCTTTAGAAGATAGACCATAGAGCTAGTGACAGGACAGGTAAACAATAAGCTTGGCTTGTCGCAAATATACCAAGCAAGGTGAGGTAGAAATTTGGGTCAGGATACATTTGGATGCTAAAGAAATGTGTATCGCTGCCTCGGTGATGAACAGGCCCATTTGGGACAAGTGCCGATGTATCTTTCTGCATGAAATGAGTTAGCTGACCTAGTTCCTCGGCTGTCGAAAAACGCCCATCAAATTTACGCGGCGCAGAAAATCGGATAATCAGCCAAGAGTGCCTAAACGGATGGGAAAAGTAAAAAATCTCCGGTATAGTGACAAGTAATACTTTGAAACAATAAAAAGAGAAACATAGTATCCAATAAGCATGGTGTTGCCATGGAAAATGATCGAAAATTCGAACCATTACACAGAACAAAGGAGTAACCTAGATACAAGATATATGAGAGAGGAGATACGCTGACGAGAGTAGTAACGAGTGATTTAGATACGCATCGCAAATGACGTGGTTAAGAACAGTCACTAGGGTGTCGTACAGACGATTCATCCAAATGCATATGGCTTGGGTCAACAGGTATTGAGGCAGAAGGTGGCGGAGTAGATTCAAAACTAATGATTGCATCTTCAGTTTTAACAGATCGATGATCATGAACTTCATCATCGTGTTTCGTACTAGGAGCGGGTGTTCCTTGAGAAGACGACCCAATTGCCAGATCATCGGACTCATCTGCTTGCGAAGTACGTGTTACAGAGGGGGACGAAACAGCAGTGCTGGTGGTGGATTCCGCTGACTGGTCTGGAAGAGGTGGCACGACGCTACATAATTGTCCAGCATGGATATCTCTACGCTGATCACTCGGCGGTGTTATTGATACTCCATCACCTAAGCCATCGTTTGATAAACCAATTGGTGGATGAACTTGTGCTTCGTCCTGGGATTGGTGAGGCACCGGAGAGGTGCGACCACCAGTATGAGGAGAAAAGGTGGCCGATGGAGATTGCGGGGGAGCGGAAGCCTGACCAGTAGGCATACCAGCTCCTGGATCTGTGGCATTCGGAGTAGATAAGCGTGAGTCCACGGCATTGTGGTGGAGTTGATTCGGGTAACCCGGGTGCTGAGGAGGTCCTGGCGGAAGCTGACCCGGAGGCTGAAGTGACTGCGCGGTGGGATACTGGGCTTGTGGTGGACCGTAATTTGGCGGATGCTGTTGCTGGGCCAGCGCCTGTTGTTGTTGTTGCTGCAACTGCATAGCTTGTTGGTGCTGTTGTTGCTGATGAACCAACGCACGGGCACGATTCTCCATCGTCTTTATTACTTCCATGTGAAACACTTGACGCTCCTGTAACAGTTGCTGACGCATCTGTTCTATCATCTCATATTCACGTTCCATGATGGCTTCCAACTCCTAGGGGAAAATAGAGAAGATCAGCAGTAACCTACAGATAAACGAACGTTCAGTATGGCATGCAACAACGACACATGTCACTTGGCGAGAAAGTTCTTGTGCCATGGGTCAAGTGGTAATGAGTATGTGCCAAATAATCAACATGCTGATGTTTTACTTTGTTCTGTACGCATTATAATGATGATTGCTGAGTGGAGAACGCTAAAGCCAATCCTCCGACTAAGAGCCAAAACGAGATGGCCTGAGTCGGCTTGAAAATGGTGTAATTTCAGGTATTTTCAATAGTACATCGTACACTGAACTTTTGGTGCTAACAAGAGTTGGACTCTTCTTTCAGAACAATCGATTTATGCAGCACCTCAGATATAGATGATGATGGATCATAGCCTCGAACAAAATAAAGGGAAGTGTCGACCGAGGAGTACCTTGGGGCGGAAATACACCGGGGAGTATTAAGTTATAACTAATGACAAATGTTGGAAGTTCCTTAGTATAAAAATTTCTTCACGATGGCTAAAATGTAAGCCACTGTACCAAAGCTAGATAATTGAAGTGGCCTTTTCAGGATAGATGGGAATAAGCACTTTGGACTAGCAGTGGCTAGGGGGTCAAGAGATATCGATAGACCGAATCATTGCAGCCGAACATGCAATTTCGAACAGCATACCGACCAAAACACGGAGGATCCAGTTCTATGCGGGTTAATCATGAAATGGGGCACAAATGGGTGCGATCAGAAGAGTGACGATGTGGCCTAACCTGCATTTGTTTTAATTTGATGTCCAATTTCTTTAATTGGGTTTCAACCAGCTGAGCCACCAGGCCCTTGATGCGCTTCTCTTCAACGCTGGCCAGGTGACGGGCCTTCGTGGCCGCGGCTGCCAGCGCGCACGCAGCTGCCGTGCCTAGACTGTCTGGATTAGGTGGAAGGCAGTTGCTGTGGGTCTGTTTCGTATCCTCTGGACAAATCCTGTCGACAGTCCCCGTGACAGCAATTTTAGAATCCTGAGAAGCTGTCAGCTCGGTTGGCTTCTGAGGGGGAACTTCTCTAGGCTCAGTTCCTTCGAGTTCACTTTTGCCAGGCTCAACACAAGGCATTTCGGCAGGAGTATCTGTGTCTTTGGAGGTGACTGTGCACGATTCGTAGGCTGCGTCATCTTGCTGACATTCCATTGCCTCGCTCTCTGATACGTCCTTTGGTTCAGAAACACTCGTGGCTAGCACACCAGATTCGGCTTTTTCAGCATGAGATTCAGAGCTCACTGACATCTAAAAGCACAAGCACAGAATTTGCATAAAGATTCCATCAAACGCAAAACACAGGAAAACTAGTAATTAATAAATGCACGATCAAAGAGCTTTAAAACAACTGTACCTGCTTAGAAACAGAATCGACATCCGAAGAAGGTATCTTTTCCTCTTCAGTAGGGGGTTGTGACGTCTTGTGCTCAGGCTCCGTGGTTTTTCCGCCACCCACCTCTTCCAAACCAAATTTGGACGGATCAACCGATTGACCGAGACGAACCGCAGACTCCACACGGACCTTGTGTTCATGCAAAAGACCAGCGGGCACCTCATCACGCATTTTTGCATATTCTGTGAGTGCAGCCTGTGCCGCAGCAGCTGCAACTCTAGGGTCTACGGCAGCCGCAAGAAACGCGACGGTGGAAAGGATCGGGTTGGCTGCTTTCGAGAAAGGAGGAAGTGGATGACTAGCGTTTGCTAGTGCAGTCAAATTTAGAATGGGATCGGCACCTTCCAGGTATGCGTCCTCAATCGGAAGTCGTAAGAAATGCAGTATACACTCCTCCTGTGTTCTACTACCAACGTGTTCAGCCACCTGAAAAAAGGCAACACACGTCAAGTAACCCCCCGTGGATTTGACCACGTCAAAAAAGAGATGTAGTAAGATTTTGTGTGATAAAAATTCTAAGCAAAAGCATCAGAATTACATGTGTAATATAAACTGTACAGTGTGTGGACCAACGGAAAACAAGTGGGAGCACGGTGAACAAAACACCAAATTGTACTCACATAGAACAGCTCGCCTACATCATAAATATAACTGTTCAAATAGATGCCAACGCAGAAGTTAATGATAAAAACGGAAACTTGTAACGTTCAGTCAGAAGCAAAGTAGAAAGTGTAGACCTAACATGAGAACCAGCTAGGGGATTTCCGTCTCTGTGAGAGCGGAAGGAATCCGTGCCAACACGAAGATCAATAAGTGCCGGGCGGTGTAAAAACGACAACATAACTGTAAGAATAGTAACATGAAAGACATCATCATCATCATCATTACACGTTAGCTGGAGGTGGAAAACACCTCAGCTATTGTGCCGCAATACAAAAGATAAGAAAAGAAAAACAAACGGTGGCTCGCCCGCTGAGTCCCCAGTAACGGATGGACATCATTCCGGAGAGCTAACAGCTGGCTGCCGTAAAAGAGTCATATTATACCTATCAGGTGAGATCATGATTGGAGGGGGATGCTAAGCAGGAGGGGGATGGACAAAGGAACTCACAACACTAACGCCATTGGGGCCGGCTCCATGCCATATCAGCGAGTGTGTCCAACCAAACGTGTTCACCATCCTTAGGACCCCAGCCAGGCACTCGACATGCACCAACCGACGCCAACTTCGAAGTGAGGGTTTTCATTCCTCTCGACCAAGTCATCACTTGGCCTCCCCTCCTCCTCTTCCAACCGCACCCACAACGAGCAAACAATGCACGTCGCGGGAATCGGTGGGCTGGCATAGGCAACACGTGGCCCAGCCATCGGAGCCTGGTGCGTGATATAATGGTGCTGAGCGGTTCACTCGCTCTTCCTGCACCAAATACGCGACGTCGAACACGCTCATTGCTCACACGGTGTTCCCACCAGACATGAGCTAAGCTGCGCAGGCAGCGATGATCGAATGTGACGAGCCTCTTCATGTCTGTCGACCTTATGGGCCAGGTTTCACAGCCATATAAGAGAGTTGAACGGACGGCTGCGTTGTAAACTCTGCCCTTCAGGGCGAGAGTAATGTCGCGTCTGCGCCACAGGTGGCGGAGATTGGCAAAAGCACCTCGAGCTTTGCTATACGGTTCGTAACCTCATCTTCAATCCCACGGGTGCTAATATAGCTGCCCAGGTACTTGAATTCCTGAACGACTTCTAGCAGATCACCACCAAGTGTTAGCGCAGGGTTGGGTCCCTGCCAATCTTGGAGAAGTACTTTGCATTTTGATGGAGCAAAGCATAGCCCAAAATGATTGACAGCCAGTGCTAATCGGTCCAGTGCTGTTTGGCATGTTTGGGAGCTGTCACAGATTAAGGCAATATCGTCTGCATACTCCAAGTCAAGAAGTCGCTCACCAGGAAGTAGCTCCACACCTTCTAGGTCGTGTCCAGCGAACGCTGTTTCCATGACTTCATCAATAGCGAAGTTGAAGAGGAAAGGCGACAGCGGGCATCCTTGTCTCACGCCGCTGGTGATACTGAAGGGTGGCGAGAGTTTGCCATAAACCCTCACCCTGCCCGAACTATGCGCGTACAGCGCTTTGATAATATTTACATATTTATCAGGCACACCATTCCTCAACAGATAGTCCCAAAGGGCACATCGATCGACTGAGTCGAAGGCACCTTTTATGTCAAGAAACATGACAAGAGTGGGTCGCCAATAAACATGGCGGTGCTCCAACACTTGACGCAATGTGAAGATGTGGTCGATGCAGCCCCGACCTCGACGAAATCCGGCTTGCTCTTCACGAATCTGGCTTTCACGAGTGCCAGTCAGTCTGTGGAAAATGATAGAGGCAAGCAATTTAGAGGCAATCGAAATCAGACTGATCCCTCTATGATTGCCGCATTCCAAACGAGAGCCTCCCTTGAAAATTGGGACAATGACGGAGCGGTTCCAGTCTGTCGGGACTGTCTCCTGCTCCCAAAGTTTTACTAGCAACTCGTGTATATCATCTATTAGAGCAGGTCCCCCGAATTTGAAGAGGGCTGGGGGAATTCTATCTGCCCCTGCGGCCTTATGCAATTTCAACAGCCTGATCTCACACATGAAAGACAGTGGGTTGAAAAACTGTCGGCTTCAGTAAAATGGAGTAGAAAAAACAAGAGACATGCGAGATCTCTAGTGCCGGTCGGTGTCCGAAAGCACATGGATTTCTGCCTTGTAGTCGCGAGGCTAACGGTTCGAATCCGCACAAATGTGGGTTGCCTTGCAGTATCCTTAGCGCGCGGGCAGCTCATGGTTGTCGCATGTCGGTAAAGCATCGGTGCGGTGCGCCAGTGTGCTGCAGATGACTTTCCCTTCAAAGTTTCAGTATTCGTTTAAGTGCCGCTATATATATATATATATATATATATATATATATATATATATATATATATGTAGGCAGGTGGGAAAAAGAAAAAGGCTTTTTCTCCATTTCGAGTTGTTTACGTATTTTAATTGAACGTTAAACAATAACTGAGATGGCACAACTACGCTGGTGCCACCGCTATCTGTTGCGCGTTGCAACATCAAGCATTTCTAACCCCTGGGAGTCATTGTCATATAGTCCCCTCCCACATGGATACTAGAATTGTTCGGTCACAGTTTTTATGTGGAATACAGGCAATACTATGAGAAAAACCTTTAGAAAGGCGTGGGATGCTCTTCTCTCAGAGTTATTTGGAGATATCCCAAGAATAGCATCGACAAAAGTATATCAGAAAATGTATTGCGCGAAAGTGCATATCCAAGACACGGGCACATAATCAGTCGATGCAAGATGTGGTTGTTACACGTGATATGTCTATCAGGGTTACCCGAATTTAGACAGGAGGACAACCAGAGTTCCAAACCAAAACTGTTGACTTTTAAAGTTTGACCGCAAGGCAGTGGGAAGATTGCAATGATCCGGTTCTGTAGAGAAGGCGTCACCTAAGTTCCGATCCCCAACCGAACGGATTTCCGTCTGACCTATGGCCTCTGACCAATCTAGCAAGAGTAGCTCCCAAGAATCCCATGGGCACCTCCAGAAGAGCTCAGTGCGTAGACAAGGTGCACAAAGTGATGCACTACGTTAGGATTTAGTCTAAATGCGATGGATCCCAAACACAATTGTCCAAGTGGTGGGCGAATGATGGCTGCAAATATCGAGAAGTGTCATCCGTGAGCTGGCAAACCGGAATAATTAACCAACACATCGCTTGCTCGGGTTCCCTAATCAGAGTACGAATTAGGTCAAATAAGTTAGGGAGGTAATCGGATTAGTGCGTGGGAAGCAAAGGCGTAGAATCGTCGTATGGCAGAAAAAATAGACTTGATTCAAAAACACTAATTGAAAGAAATGTGGCACTCAGAGAGTTTCATTCAAACAGAAAAGCAACTGACTTTGTTCCAGTCATCGCGATACATCTCTAATGCCTCCAACAGCAACAAGGTCTCCTGATCCGTCCAACCGCCTTGATTGGCACCCTTCAGGAGTGTTGCATTCGGAGCAAGTTGGGGCGCACCATCCGGAGCGCTCACAGGCTTCGCATCCCCGTTTGCAGTGGGGCATACAGAGCGAACGGCGCTTGGGCTATTCAAGTACTGATCTGTTCGGAGACTAGGATCACCAACAAACGGCGGTTTCGCATCCGGTGCTATCCCATTCGTGGAGGAAGGAGCACTTTTAGAGTTGGGTTGAACAGCCCCTGTCAGACTTGGCACAGTTGTTCCCTCCACTGACTACAGCAGCAATGAGGAAAAAATGAAACGATGAACTACTAATGAGTAGGATGATTTTTGATGACATTTTAGTTATAATAGTCCAAGCAGCTAAAAATGAATCAAAGCAAAGCCGCGATGTACATTGAATGTTTCCGTTATAACGCAAAAAAGTACAAACGATTTATCAACACATAGTGCCGGAGTTTTGCTGCGACTCAACTGGAGGCGGCTATGCGCCACTGCAGAGCGTCCAGAGCTTGGACACGAACCCGCTGCGGAGCAAGCGACATACATAAAATTTGTCCGAACAGGATTCGAACCAATGCCGTGGTAAAACTTGCGGAGGTAGCGGTAGACGCTACACTCGGGACAAGAACTCGACTGGGTAATGAAGAGATCATTAAGGGGAACAACACCGAGTGCATTCCGTTAAAACGTTTTTCTTCTCGCTATTTTGAAACAAACCAAAGATTAACAGCTGAGGCGGTAGACATTGACAAGGCTGACAATTGCGGGAGCAGAATAAACGGAGTGGCGCTGTCAAACGCTTGGCGTGCTGTCACACCCGGCCACAGTTTGAATAACGTCGGGTGACGGACTCAGGTTGAAGCGAAAACATTACACTATCATCATTAGAACCACCAGTAGCAAAAACAATAATGCCTTACATGTGAATGATCTGTGACACAGATCAATTGGGAAGGTTTCACGTCTGTTGATCCATTGGGAGTCCAACCACAATTATCCACTGACTCGTTATTTATTGCAAGTATTATCCTAATTTGTTATCAGAAGTCAAAATAATTGTGTACCAGTTCACCTGGCCCAAAGAAGCTCCTTTGTCATAAGTGAAACGTGCCGTGATACAAGTCAATACCGAATCAAGTGGACATCCTAAAATGTTCAAAATTATGAACCAACGTAAAATTCTGCCGCAAACTGCACAGAAGGTATGTCATTGTATCATGAGTCCGTTAACGGATAAAAGGAGCTGAGAACGGGTGAACAGAGAATAGTTTGCACAGAGAGCAGTCGAACAGTAGGGCAGCCGGTAGCTAAATGGTTTAAGGGAGGAAGGCAGTCAGGACCATCATAAGAAAGCTAATAGACCCGGCGTGCCCCCGAGAATACAACCATAGAGATATCGCATAGGCGAGAAATGTGATTACAATAGCCTAGGTCAAAGTGGAATATGCAGCGCATCAATGAACCACGCACACATGCGACAAACACAAGACACAGTAACGTAGCAGAATCCATTTAAGCACATGGAAATGGGAGAAATGTGGTCCGCAAAATTCGACGATGCACATTTAACCTACTTGCGTTTCAGTCTTGGATAATCCGTTGACTGCTGCATTCAAGTCATTTGGCTCCTTGATCGCAGCAGATTTCATGGGGTCCGCCGCCGCATCCGAAGGATTATTGGATTGCCCAGTACCGGAAGACGCCATGGCAGTTTGATTTTGCGTCCCGATCGGTTGCAATCCGCTGACACTGTCAGCCAGAATGTGAAAATGTGCCGTACTCGGTGGACCCAGGCTTGCTGCCACTGCCAGGCGCGCCGCCTCAGCAGCAGTGTTGCCGCTTGCTACACCCCCGCTCAGTCCAGAAGACGATGCTGTTAATGGCGCAGCTACTTGGTAATTAATTAGGCCCCACTGTTCCAGAAAGGCGTGAACCCGAAGGATAGAACACACGTCACCTGTCAGATTGCGTCGACATGCAGTGAAAGTAAGGTATTCCTAAAATGAAAGAGTAAAGCGGGAGGCGACGGGTTGTAAGTGAGTGTATAACAAACTAGTAGATACCCATTTTGAGTTCAAAATACACAACAGAGGAGTGCAAAACTGGAAAACCAAACCCCCTAAGGATAGAGGAATAATGGAAGTGTAACTTGGGATGTCAGTGTTGGAATGGGTAACAACACCGAAACACCTCCAATTCGGATACGGTCCTTGTGATCGGAATGACCGAGGTCTAATTCAAAGTGAACCGACGTCTCAATAGAGATTGCGTGTCGCAGTTCAACCACACAGTGGGTACGACAAAGCCAACTTCGAATTCCATTTCGTTGTGACAAGCGTTGCTCATGGAGCTTAGTAAAATAGTGATAAATGCGTCACTTATAAAGACCTAGCCCGGAGTTCCACCCCAGATTAGGCTATCTCCACCTGCTGAGCCCAAAAGAAGACGAACTCGGTCACGATGTGTAAGTGTTAGGATGAGAAACACCGAAAGACCAACAGCAAAGTTCCTAGGGAAAACAGTATGCAGCGCCTCTTGCTTCAGCGCACGAGGATGAGAAGGGACATTGCTACAATTAGAGCAAAATGGAGCAACGAAACAGGAAGGAAGATAATTCCTAGAAGCATGTTTCTCATCCAACAATGTGATCAACATACGCATTGTAAACAATCCCGTGTACCAAGAGCTAAAAAAGAAAGATCTCTGGCGAATAAAAAAAACGAATTTCAGCCGCAAAAGAGAAGGACAAATATCACGAGGCGCAAGTCGAAGATGTGACTTTCAAAAGTCATCTGTCCATCGATTAGGGATGAACGATTCAGGTAGGAATATTGTACACTGCACATCATCGCACTGAGGATGCCACTCCGTGTGATGGTGAAACGTATGCGACTATCAGGCTCGTCGAACTGCTCAACAGGTGAACATCATATCCAGTTCATCCACTGTTAAGTACCTTGCTGCATTTTGGTCTCATGATCTATCATGATAAATATATAGCGACGAGGCGTTCCACAAGATGGGAAAATTCTCAATTCATGCTTTTAGTACCATGCTGTTTTATCTATAATTTTATGAGTGCCCTTATTCTTCCTTACTGGTTATAGTGTTTAATTATCAGATTTTCCGGCATTCTATACAAAAGCACTTCACAGGGATTGTGTGCTCCAGTAAGCACACCTCAGGACGTGGTGGATTGCTCAAGGTCCCCGGTTGACTTCCTCGTTAGTAAGTATTTTGGTGCATGCGACAACTTTCATTGAATGTTTTAAATAATCCCTTTCATCTCTTGCAAGATGCTTTGTCAAAACACATCTCCTGTTCGCCTACGCGCTCCAAATTTAGTGTGTTATCATAATTCCAGCTTACTGCATTTATACCGTCCTCTTGTGGACTACAAGTCATAAATACCACGCATGAACGTTTAACAGAGTGACTTACATGCATAAGTCAATAGTACTCTTTCCTGCTGATGTCAGATCAATGTTGTGCGCGTCTGTACACTCGCAATAGCAGTGAAAAAATGATGAAATGTTCCCAGTCGAGCGCATAAAAGACCTGCACTGATTTGACTTGCTTTTAAGAGTCATACACATGCATGGTTGGCGGCATCCGGTTTCGGATTTGCCTGTCACTGTGGCAAGTCACAGGACGCCTGCGCCTACAGAGGTGGTTTGTTTCGGGTGCTTTGCGCTGCACCACCTACAATTCCATCCACACACCCCATATCCAGTGTAAACCCGAAGGAATAAGACCGGGAGGCATGTGGATGGGAGCCAAGTTTCATCAACGGAGCCGGCCCACACTCCTTCATAGGCAAACACAAGCACGCTGTATTTGGGAATCAACCGCACACGAGGCGGTGGCTGGACCATAGTCCGCTCCACATTGAGTGCATGGAACCACTCTTCGAGCCTAGTACGACCATAAGGACCGTGCACCCTGTCCCCTCCAGCAACGACCAACTGTCTCCTGGAGCCAGATGGACGAAGTAGTGGGTAATAGACAGGTAGGCACCTTGTCAACATGCACATCAAGCGCAGCCACACCGGGGATTTCAAGCAACAGCCAATCACCTGAAACGACAAGATGAAATAAAATAAATCGAATAATGCATACAGATACGGTGCCATAACTATTCGCTAAATTAGCACATGAAGTAAGTTGGTTAGCAACGAACCCACGATAAGGAAAAAATGTCCACAAGTTACTTAAAAATGCTACAAACCCGACAAAGTTACCGGAGATAAGCGCAATTAGCGTAAGCAATGTGGCCAATTAATCGAAGATTATTCAGCTAAGCAGAACAAATCAAATAAAGTGGAAGGAAATGTATCCAGATTAAGAAGACCTAGTTAAAGTGTAAGTTGGTTTAGCCCAACTGCGGTGAAGAAGTATCAAGAATGCAACAGCAGCCTCAGCATGGAGCACCATACATGGATATGCAGGCCCATATTAACATACATACGACGCACAAAAACAATGATAGAAGAGTATTAATAACCGTCGGCGGTGACAGAAATTCACCTGTGGATTTAGACGATAAGTATCCACCATGAAATTCCGGTAAGCCAAATACACTTCCGGTGTTTTGCTTTTGTTCTGATTGTTGAAGAATTCCGGTAAAGCACGACGCTCAATCCCATGAATCGCATTGTAATCAAACCAGGCCGAATAGGACGGAATGACAATACAGTGCGCTTGCTCCGTTACACTGAGATCAGTGTGTGCTCCGGCCGCGCCCGACTGGCGGAGGTCATCACTTTGTGCGACGGAGGTATCGACTGAAACCGAAATTGGAGGGATTGTGGAAGCGATTATCATACAAGTAGAGTCTCAGAACAAAGGCAAGAAGATTTGGCACAGCGGGACTGGGTGTCACTGCAAGCGGAAGTGAGAAGTTCGAGAAGAAATACGGTTCTCTGCCGTGTATAGTGATAGTGCATGCGTTCCGTAAATCGAGACCTCTGAAGGCACCGAAATGCTCCGTTCAACGTGGAATAACTGACATCAAACGGTTGGCTCGATGACCTTAGCCTGCTCTATAATAAAGAATATGTAACTGCGACTTTGTATTATGGATTCCAAGGGATAAAACGCAACCGAAGGGAAATCGACTGATGGAGTATGCACGAACATCAACGGAATGCTCGACAATGCTAAAACGGGGAAATTAACTAACGCTTTGTTAAAACGCGCTCTTGAATTAAGGAAGAACTAACTCTAACATTTGGTTTATTCATGCAAGAGCACAGAAGTTGTGCACAAAATGATCTGATCTCTTGCGAGAACAGGTTCTAGTAAAAGTCTAGAAGTATACCCTTATTTACTTTGAGTAGAAGAATTTTGGCGAGTATTTTTGTTCGTCGCAGTCAGCCGACAGTTCAGATAAGTCAACTACCTATCCGGAAAAGCAACAGACGGCCGTTTCGCCCTATTGGGGTTCGTCAGTGGTGCGCATCCTTCGGTCCTCTACGGAGGATGAAACCCATGACTGCTAGTGGCTTGTGCCAACTAGCCCGCAGCTTATGCAACTGAGCCATCAGGTGCTTTTCCGGATAGGTAGTTGACTTATCTGAACTGTCGGCTGACTGCGACGAACAAAAATACTCGCCAAAATCCCTCTACCCAAAGTAATACTAATTCGCCCTTACGGATTCCATAAGTGCTATGTCGATTCATAGCTGCCGTAATCTGGAAGTCCTGATGCCGGAAGGCCAACCGCTGTTATATGCATGGCAGTGGAGGATGGGTCGAGCTATATCGCAGTTAGCTAACAATTCGTGATGGTTGGCTGCCGTCCTTCATGGCTCAGTTGCATAAGCTGCAGGTTAGTTGGCACAAGCCACTAGCAGTCATGGGTTCGATCCTCCGTAAAGGACCGAAGGATGCACAGCACTGACGAGCCCCAATAGGGCAATAGGGTCTTGACTTCGCAGCGGCCGAGGAGAAGCTCGACCTAGGGCCACCGTATTCGAGGAAGGTTGAAATGGCCCATAAGTAGGAATGGTGGACAACTCATGCGGTTGCGCACTTGATGCAACCAGTTCAAGCTGCGGCTCAGTGGACTGCGATAGAAAATATCCACGGGGAGTTCGCCGCCTCTCAGGTGGATCGAACACCATAGCTGCTCACATAGGCCATCACTGCTCCTATATATGCTCACGAATCTTCGGCATAAGGAATAACGTATGTAAAGCAACACGCCACCGCGGTCATTAAATATTCTATCACAGCGGAAGCAAAAATATCCACTGATTTCGAGTTCTTGCGCAACTATCTCTGAAGTTAACTGTTTCAGCGAGACCCAATACGTCTGGTTGCCGAAAAGCAACGAAGTGACAAACGTCGTTAAGTTTGTTCATTAGACTACAAACGTTTATAACCTATTCATGCGGATTCGAGGAGGAACCCGGGTAACCATTCGAAAATTTACAATGCGGAGATTTGTTTCCCCACCTTCAGTGCGCCGCTTTAGTTCAATCACGGCAGACTTGAGTTTTTCTCGGTCTGCTGGATCCATGTCTGCGCGCACTTGGATCTTCAAACCCCTAAGTCCACCGAGGCGCAAAAATATCAACCACGGACCGGCTTCGTCAGTAAAAGTGACCCTTATGGGTCGAACTTTCCCATCAGTTTTCTTTCCAAGACAAGCGATTTGCTTCAGTTTCAGCCCGTCTTCACCGACGTCGAGCATTCAATCAACCAGACGCTGCAGAAACTCGACGTTATGGTCATACTGAACCCGAGGGTTGGAATCCGACGATTCAGGAGCATGGAAGACCATGAAGTCGCGACGACTCCGGTTGCTGGACATCGTTTTCGGTTTCTTTGGCCTTTGTGGTTGAAAGAAGTCGTCACTGCCTCGCTTGTCACACATTCGAAATGCCGCGTCCGTCGAAGGAGTACCAGGTGGTAAAGATGGGCTACACAGCAATCTAGGGATTCGCTCAACAGAGCTGGTGGTAGGCGTGCATGGTGTGTTTATCTAGGTCTTTTCCGCAGATCGTGTAGAGCTGCGGGCTTTGGAACGCCTCGCTTTACCGGTCCGTTGAATAGGTTTCCCAGCGGACTTAGGCTGCGGGCTGCACTGGCACTCCTTGTATATATACTCATGAAAAGATAGTGCTGAATCTTGCGGATAACACGAAACTGGTACACAGAAAATCCAATGCACGAAATGGGAAAATGCACCTAGCAAACGCCACACAAAAATGCGTTTGCGCGATGCCAACAGATCTTAGAGCAACTATCGCAGGGAGACTCCTTCACTATTTTTAAATTTCCCAGCGGTGGATACGAGAGAACATGGGAATTATGCACTTACGAGAAATAGAAACAGACAGGACACGTATTAATGATAAATAGATTCGGAATCACAAGGAATTAGGCAAGTAGGTACGGATGAACACGAATGTAATAATGTAAATAACCAGAATAACAATCCTAAGGAAGCCATGGGAATCTAGGGAGTATAGAAGTACAGTGGAAAACGGATAAAAATATATTAATGGATAATTCAGAATCACAAAGAATATCGAAGTGGACAAGTGAAGATTTAAAAAAGCACGATAGATGACGCAAAAAACTTAACAAACTGCCTTGGGAGCGGAGCGATTTGTTTCGAACCGGCCGCCGTGACCTTGATCATGATGATGATGATGGACTGAGGAGGATGAGAGTGGTGGCGATGATGATGATGATGGGCCGGCAATTTTGCCCACATTGAATCCAATCTATGATCTTTGAAAACGAATAGCTTTTGCACGACTTGGTGAGATAAAAGCCGAATATCAGCGATTGGCAGCTGTCGCAAATCAACAACTTTCGGAGAATCACCGAAATGGAGAAAAAGGAAATTGAAGCGCGCGTCAGTGAGATAGGTGAAGCAATTTGGCACTGATGTGGCTAAGAGAGAATAGCCAAGACTATATTCCGCAATTCGGTTTAGTTCATCGAACAACCGTGTAGCTCCTGTTCCACGACTATACCATTGGCATTGCGAAGCTTGACAGATCGTTGCCAATAAATCTTTTGCTCGAAAATGTCGTCCCTTCATGTGTAATGTGATGCGTGATTGCTATGTGGTAGAAGGTTTTCCGCAATCCCAGCTAATAGTGGTGTTTCGTAAGGAGCTACTCTCTATCCCCTTTTCTGTTTTCTTTATAGGTTTAATCTCTCCATACCATTCAGTTTCACCGGATGTAAATATCCCGATAACGTCGACTCAAGGTGTGGAGCCCCAGTAGCTCCAAGAAGAATTAGACGAACTCTTGACTTGGTCGAGCACCAAATCATTCCTTCGCAATCCTTCCAAGTGTTGTGATGTCTGTTTTTCATTTATCCGCCCGACAAACTGCAATCCCTTTTAAATACCTCCGCTTTATTGGTCGCGTGGGATCAAAGCATCCTTTGATTATCCACCGTTAATTTATCCTGGTCGACGTATATTTCTAGAAATCTTCAGAAAGCCAGAGGACTGTCGTCTTACGCCGTCAGGCTTAAAATGCTTTCTAGATTTCGTGTTCTAATTTCAAGATTTACAAATGCATGCAAATTAATAATATGATGTTCAACCTTATATTACTTGATTTTTCGAATTTTTTGGGGTTATTTGTATTATCTTTTTGTATTGCGGCACATTAGCTGAGACGTGTTTCCCTCCCTCAGCTAACGATAATGATGATGATGATGGCGATTAAATACATTCACTTTACCCTCTGATGATACCGCTCCTCCGTTATTTGCTCCGGACTACCTGTCTTGTGTGCTCAACAAAAATGTAGTCCTCGATTCTCAAGATAAAGTAGAGTCTCGTCGATTTTAGCGTTAGCAATCATTCTGATGCATTTTTCGACTTTGCATCCAAGACACTAGACGATTCTTCGTGTTTCTTACGCACTGTTCTAGCCGGTACGGCATCCATTTCCTCTAGTTAGTCAGCATAAGCTTCCTCTACCAGATGAGTCCAAATATAGACGAAATCGGTCGGTCGTGGAGTGAAGTGTTGGGAGAAAGCAGCTTTGAAACGCTCGAGTTCGGATGCGGTCGCAATGATCGAAATGGCATAGGCTTGCTTCAAAGCAAACTGCAGCCTCAATCGAGATTGCGCGTCGCAATCCAAACAAACGGCGGGTACTCCAAGACGCAACAATGAGTTTATTTTGTAATTGTAATGTTTTGGGCCCAGCTGCTCACAAGCTACATAGCACAGACTAGTCCGGAAAAGCACCAGACGCGTTTCGCCCGATTGGGACTCCAACCCATGACTGCTAGAGGCAGATGCCAACTAGACAGTAGCTTAAGAAGCCACTGAGCCATGGAGGACGCCAACTGGGCTACACAATTTGCAAGCTTTGCATTTTTTCCCAGAAAATAGAAGCCACGATTAAACTTCGTACAATAATCTGCCTCGACCGGGAATCGAGCCACGGACATACGGATTACCGGTCTTATGCTCTACCACTGAGCTACCGAGGACTGATAATCAGGTGCGCAATTTAATACATAACTTGGTTCGCGACGTATTGCCAATAAGCTCACAGTATCTGTCCTGATGTTGCAGATTGGCTCACTCACTCGTCACTTTTCAATGAACCGAAGTATCTGCCCTCTTGAAGTTCAAAGGGCGACGGTAAATGTAGATTATTGGTGGCTTGTATGGGTAGTGTAATTTTCGTAGAAAGTAGAAGCCGAGCAGTGGACCGGTAATCCGTATATCTGGGGTTCGATTCCCCGTCGAGGCGGATCATTGTGCAAAGTTTAATCGGGGCTTCTGCTTTCTACGAAAATTACACTACTCACAAAAAGCACCAATAATTTGCAATTTTTATTTTCTCGTATTTTTCGTATCGTAACTCCTTTGTACTACCGCATCTGCCTCGCTTGCTGATAGTCTACTTAAAAGTAATGAGGCATCAGTTTCGACAGCGTTCGCTTGAGTGAAAATGCACTGTTCCCGCTGAGGCGATGTTGTAATATATATCCTCTGAAAATGCCCCCAAGTGGGTGAATATAGCTTAGCTTGGTTTGACTTGAAGAATCAAAAGCCAAAGTGCAGCATTCTCAGTTGTTGCTTGTGGCATCAAAGTGATAAAAGAAATATACAGATGGACGGAATGCGAGAACACTAATGCCCTGTTGTTTATGATGTGCATAGAAAGGTTTCAAACAATGATGCTCCTGATCCCGGGACAAGTGAATACATCAATGTAACGGGCCCCGGGGGGTCAAAGTTCAAAAACTCTGTGTATGGATGTTTGCGGGGAAAGGTTGTAATGCTTCGAACGAAGCATGGACCAAAGGGATTTAGGTGGGAAGAGATTGTTCATTTTTCCAAAATGTATTTGGTTTAATGAAGCGCATTTCCACCGTCTAGTCCGAAGGGAGCGCGGCAACACTTGATAGATCTCCATAGCGGTGACATTGCTTATTTCGCGTTACCTGCGTTAAAGAATATATCCAAGAAATCGGTTCCGAATTTGTCATCCCTAAGTCCAACTGACAAGTGTAGCAAAGACCCTCAATCCCGTTCAGGATAATCGTATGTTGTGGGTCCCACTCATTGCTAAGATGTCTAGCGTTACAAATACGGTAAATTTACCAATCTATATTAGGTGAGGATTCAAGCAGAATACTTTTAAAGTCTCACGTTCATAATAAGTGACGCGTGGCTGGCTTGCCGAACAACCTCCTCCTGTGCCAGTTGGGTGGTTCGGGATTTTCCGGTTCCAGCAAATGGTTCGGCGGCAATGTTCCAGGACGTGGTGGGTTTTCGCCTGGCAAGCGTTCTCTCCATAAAAAGCCATATATGTCCGTTTAACAACCCTGAGACGTGGCGGAAGTGACTCGCCACTAGATAAAGTCACTGCCCCTTGCTTCATCCTGGCCAAGCGTTGTATTCCAGCAACTTTGTGCTGTAATTCTGGGGAGCACTGGGCCCCTATTTGACAAAGTAACAAACGAAAGGCGTATGAACTGAGCAATTAGTCACAGGCACCCAATGAGCACGATTCCCTGAATTTGCTCCGCTACCTTGCGGACAGGCTATTCAGCCAAAGGCTCGGGGTGGTGTCCCCTAAGTCAACACCCTACTTCGGCTTGGGAAACCGGGTTGTATCTCGCCCTGAAGAAACCATGGAGTTTAATGAGTTGTCGTGTTTTCTTTTGCAAGTTCCGTACCTTCTTTTGTGTTCCATGGTTTCTATGGTTCTATGTCTATGCATAGACTGCTACAAATATATAAATAAATAGGTAACGCGTTTATCCAGTTTGGTATTGCATTTCACGGGACAAGAGGGCAGATGATCGGGATCTTCATCATGGGTCAAGATGAGACACGGGCAAAAACTTAGCAAGCAGCGAAGTGAGTGAGGAGCTGCTTCCCTGATGAGGGCAACTAAGGAGAGAAGGTCGTTTTCAACAGCCTCTTAGCTACAGTCGTCGTCGGGATCTACTTAAGCAGTCTGTGCTCTACATGGACGCGGGATACAACGCAGCCGCCAGAATAGCTACGTTTACGATTGAAGTAGCACCGGGAAAACCATTGGCTGTGTGAGATCTGAACACAACAATCGCAAGTGACGTGCAGCTCTATGATCATGAATGTGTGCCCTGGAGATGCGGCACACATTAACCCCAAAAGTTAATGGTAAGTGTGAACGTAACATGATGCCCGATCTAATATGGAGTATGAAAGCTTAAAAAAACCAAGTGTGAATAAAGATTGGAACATAAAATGTGACCGGAGTGAATCTAGCGATTAGTGGAGAACTAACACGAGAAACAGAAGAGTGAAGTGGACTAATGACAGAATTCTGGGCATCAGCATTATGCCGGAACCCCGTCCCAACGCACCGTCTTTCCGCATCCGCCAGCGTTTGCTGCTTGGGGACTCGGATTCTATCGGGTCGATCGTACTCGTGCTGGTTCCAATCGGTAAGCAACGAATTACAACACGTGAATCACCCGAAATAAGCATATACATCGGTGGTTTCTCCATGCAACTGAAATCAAAACTATGGTGATACAAAAACAATGGGACAGATGGGAATTTGTTTGATGAAACCCAAAAAAAGCTGATATACAATTGGTCGGTCTCAGAAGGAAACAAAAAGCCAGTTCAGCATAGAAAAGAATACGGCTCCGTGAGGAGATGATTACGAGTTGTCAAATACAATTTCAGCAGTTTTGCGATCAGCAGCGTATATTTTTCAACCGTACTAGATGGCTCAATTGAGACCGCGGTCAATCGCATACGGGTTCGACTCATTCCACCTTCAACGACCGCATAAGACAGCGATTTTAAAACAGGGAGGAAGGAATACGATCACTATCACCGTCGGACAACAGACAGCGCTCGAACGCTGGTATCAATCAACATGAACTTGTAGGTAGCAAACTGATGCCTCGCAAAGCAAGTCCAAGTCCTAAAACCTAATAAGATGCGGAAGTTGAGAATGAGGTTGCCTAGTTACGAAATATCGATAGGTCCGACGTACTTAGTCCTGAAAGCATTCGGGAGATTGCTTTCGGTTGCAGCGATGTGAGAATTAAAAAGTCACAGCCTTCCAAGTTTGACGATTCATCATGATTTACCATACTTATCAGCAAACGGATAGTTCCAAAGTGTTCATTTATTCTTCATATGTGCCTTAGCCGGCCCGTAAACCTAGGGGATCACACGCCTGCCTTGTAATCTGAGGGCGCAGGTTCGAACTCGCGTAGGGGCAGGGTGACCCTCGCATTATCCTAAGCCCACATCTGCCTGATGGTGGTTGCACAACAGCGAAGCGTCGGCACTACGTTCCGACGAATTGTTGATGCCTGCCCCTCATATGTGCACAATCACCTACAGTGGAACACAGTGGAACACACATGACCTTTATTTATTCGCAACACTGTAGTTAATTAAAGTATCGCATGTACAAATTACTGTTGTCCACATTCACCGTGGAGGCGCTGTCCACTGCTGACTGTTTCACAGCTGACTATGAGTACGGACCAACGGAGTTGTTTTAGCTCTGTGTTGAGTAAATATGAAGACTAGGTTTATAAACCTTGCTGTAAGTCACTTCAGTGGAAGACGGCACGTAATCCGCTGTACAACATCAAAATCCAGCCGCATCGCAACTGGACATGAAGCTGTGCTCTAAGGTTTGTGCACAAAAAATGGAGAACCGCAGCCGTCACCTTACGTCGTGCGATGAAGCTACAAAATATAAAACATGAGCAAAGAGTATGTCCGAACATGCTCACCGACAGGGTCGTTCAGGTTTACCGCAGCACCAGGACACTCCAGACCGTCTCCAGTGTCGTTGTCTTCGTCCAAATCGAAAAAGATAGACTTGCTTGCAGACACGTCCGTGCTGGGACCGACACGGCTGGAGCGTGAATTGACAGAGGCAGCTGGAATCCCGTTGCCAACAGGTGCGGCAAAAATCTTGTGCACGGGTTCGGGATCATCGAAATCTTTTGTTAGATCCGTCTCTTCCGTGATCGTATCCGATGGGGCAGTTTGACAGGAGGTCTCGTCCTCTTCCTATTCAATAAGAGAAGTACGGTGAGGTGGCTCTTTCGGTAGTCCGAGTAAAGTAAACTTAACCAACAGTGAAATGGTCACAAACGACAAAAATAAACTTACCGTGGCTGAATAAAGTATAATTTTCGCCTAATGAATGGAGTGTGAATGAAGGACGAGAGAAACCTGAGGGCATGTTAATGCCGAATGGGGTATAAATATCAGTTGCAAATAATGATTAAGAACCGACTGAACAGCATGGAAAACGAAGATTTTGCTGACAAGGTAGATGGCATCCGGTTAGGTATTCGCCTGTCACTGCGGCCTCCACAAGGACACCCACAGGACGCCTGGGACTACAGAGGGGCCATGAATGGCTTGTTTTGTATTACCTACAACTGCATCTACACACCACACATCCAGTGGAAACCCGAAGGAATAAGACCGGGAGAAATGTGAATGAGAGCCATGTCTCACCACCGGAGCCGGCCCATAATCCTTCAACAAGTACATCAGCAGCATTCCTATCTATCTATGTAGGGAATCATGCATACCAGACGTACACAATGCGGTGGCTTATAAACATGCATACGGTTGAGGTGATTAGTAACCGGAGAGAATAAATGCATATTGCTAGAAAGCAGTATTGAAGTTCAAGCAATTTCAAGTAAATAAAGAGATACCTCTTTTTTAACTTTTCGGTGGCTGTTATGACCGACAGAATGGCGAGAACTTTTTTCGTTGGCATTTGAAGATCCAGGTCGTCGCTTTTTATGAATACCGGGAGTGGAAATAGAATCGGAGACCGAAGGAGAAGGAGATCTTCGTCGTTTCTTTTTGACTGAATGTTCCAACAAATTCATTGACGGCGTATTGGAAGATACAGAATAATGCGCAGTTGGAAGACTGACACTGCTGCTACTGGAGGCACAAGCAACAGCCGCAGCAGTGGCGAGAAATTCATCGGCTGGAAAGAGAGTAACAGGTGCAAGTAAGCTAGTGTTGGATGAAATGAACTACATGTAGGTGATGTTACACGTTCGATCCCAGGTTAACGTAGGGAAGGTAGTACTTCGCCTCTTCGTAGGGTGAACACTGCGGTGAGAGGAAGCACCTTTAAGACACTGAGTCCAATGGATTAACGAGAAATAATAAATCAGTCGAGCAATCAGCAAGGAGATCTAACAGTGGTATTTTGCTCGAGACACTTTGACGGGGAGCAAAAAGCGTTGTTGGGAAGATATGGCCCACCAATTACCGAAAATGGCCTTATTTGTTCTTGGGATGTAGGACGGTGCAAGGTTCGTAGCGGGTAGAAGAAGATGTGGAACTGACGAGCTCCAATAGGGCGAAACGCGCGACTGGTGCTGTTCGAATGGGGTTGTGCTATGTAGCTTGGGAAGTGCTGGGACGGATATATTGAAATTACAGACGAATTCCTCTTACTCACGAGTACTTACAGATAGGTTCACGCGGCGCACTCTTCGCATAATACCCAACTGTTTGAGACTGTGTGCTGTAGGCAAGATGTAGACCCCTTGACACCTGCCTGTGCGCTAAGAGCGTTTACGTTTAACACCAGGATCTCTTCTCACTCTCTTATTCATCTCATTCCCTAAGTTCCTATGATTTGACGGCGTCCGTATCCGGATTTGCTTGTCACTGTGACGTCCATGGGGACAGTCATAGGACGCCTGCGCCTACAAAGGGGACCGTGGGTGGCTTGCGCCGCACCACCCATAGTTCCACCCACACACCCCATATCCAGTGTAAACCCGAAGGAATAAGACCGGGAGGCATGCGGATGGGAACTACGTTTCATCAACGGAGCCGGCCCATACTCCTTCAACAAGCAGAACAGAAGCATTCCGGCCTAATTGGGAAATCATGCACACCGGACATACACATGGCGGTGGCTGGACCGTAGCCCGTTCCACACAGGATAGAACCACACTTTGAGCCTAGCACCGTCACGAGGACTGTGTACCCCGTCTCGCCGGCAACGACCAACTGTCTCCTGGAGCCAGTATGGACGAGGTAGTGGGTAATAGACAGGTAGGCACCTTGTCAACATTCACATCAAGCGCATCCACACCGGGGAGCTCAAACAATAGCTACTTCAGAAATGTAAGCTTACTCAGCACGCAAGGAAGCGTACCACATAAGACGCCTTATTGGCCTGGATTAGTAAATCGAATGGGAGCGTACGTATCATGCTTCTATTCCGCGTGCAATAGTACCTTCTCCTGCATCTGAGCAACCGCCCTTATGATCAGTGCCTTGGGTTCGCAACACCTGTAATCAACATGAGTTTGTCATAAACTCACCTTCTTCATGTTCTGGTAATGTTATTTCCGGTTTGCTCGAGTGCTGTTTCCCTGCACCAAGTTAGTCGTACAAAAGCGGTATGAGTATCCTCGTCCAATTCATTCGGTATACATACATACATAGATTGGCGTCATGCGTGTCCAATAGCAGTTCGAATACAACATATGCACATGCGTTTATCCAAACTTAAATGTGAGCTGTCACAAACTGGAGAGAGACACATTAGACATCACTATAGTGGTGTGGTAACAAAACACCGACAAAATGCTAAGTACTGCGATAGCGTTGGGCTGAAGCGTCCCACTAATTCTCACAAGCGAGGTGACGAAATGGTCTAACTCGCAACTACTAGATATGTTTGGACGCTCTGAGAGCAGCTTTCCGTCACATGGAAACCAATCATCGGTATACACGGCTGGTGTGCCGCTGATGTTTTACATACATTATAAAACCACCCGAGAGTGAGTTTCCGAGGTGGTCAATGAGCCTACCAATTCGGTTACAAATATTTCCTCACGAACAGAGGATACGTCGTCAGTGCATGATAGTCAGTCTCTCCGATGAGAGCGCAAACCTAGAAATGGGTTTGTCTGATGCGAACACTACGAAACAAACTGCTGACAACCAACAACAGATGATGTGCCCTAGACTGATGATGTAAGACTGGCAGGTAAAATGCCAAGCTCCACGAACACATCAACAACTAGACAGCCTATCTGCTCGGGAAAATGATTTGAGCCAATTACGTACCGCCAAAACACCAATCCGTTTCAGGGACATTCGCGTCCCCATCGCATGAGGTGAATACCTACCATCTCATTGGCTAGTAGAACTGTACTAACAATTAGGGCAAATAAGCTAGCTGTAGCAAGTAGAAGCCACGATTAAATTTTGCACAATAATCTGCCTCGACGGGGAATTGAACCCCGGACATACGGATTATCCGGGGTTCAATTCCACGTCAAGGCAGATTATTGTACAAAGTTTAATCGTGGCTTCTACTTGCTATAAAAATTACATACTCATAAAATCACCAATACACTAAGATTTACCATCGCCCTTTGAACACCTGAAGGACAGATACTTCGGTTCATTGGGAAGTGACGAGTGAGTGAGCCAATCTGTGACACACCAGGACAGATACGTCGCGAATCAAGCAAAAGTCATGTAGTAAATTGCGCACCTGATCGTCAGTCCTCGGTAGCTCAGTTGGCAACCCGTACGTCTGGGGTTCGATTCCCGGTCGAGGCCGATTATTGTGCAGTTTAATCGTGGCTTCTACTTTCTACAAAAAGTACATACTCACAAAACCATCAATACTCTAATCTAGCTGTTCCAAAACGCGTACGTTTCGGAGTTGACCTATAAATGTAAATTGATTTGACACTATCTGTGTCAGTTTTTGGGGAGTTTGTTAACCAACACGTGTTTGTCTCAAGGCGTTACCTGCTGATTTTGACTGAGATTCGAAGCTAGCAACGAACGAGGTCAATTTAACTGGTTATTTGAATAATTGTGAGAAATTCGAAGTGATCAATCGGTTTGCTTACCCTGGTCACAGTAGAATCTCTGATGATCGCATCAGCGCATCAGGGGTTACCGCACAGATTAGTAAACCACAAAGTGAAATTTCAGAGAACAAATTGAGTGTGGAAACAGATGTAAGCCCATTGGCTACCAGAAAAGTGAACAAGGTCGTGTGGGGGCAAAGTTCCGCCATTGCACACACACTATCGTGAACACGACTTTCTCCAGATCGTGTGCGCCGCTAACACCGAACCTCGCACTTAGTGGGACACCACGTGGTATACAGGCTAATTTTTCGATCGCTGACATGGGAGGATCGTGTTCTGCAACCATTGCGCGAAGACCCCTCGATGGTTCAACTGCGCACAGTCCCTGTGTGCATGAGATTTCCTCGGCTGTGGGAAGCGAGACATTCAAAGCTTTCAGAGTCCGTGAGTTATCGATTGTTCAATAAGTAATACAACATTTTAGGAATGCCAATCAATTGCATGTATGTGGCAGTGAAATCCCAGGAGCACGACGTCGAATCCGTCTGTATTGATCGATGGGTAGGACAGCCGTGATACACATAAGAAGTTAATTGAGGTTCTTCGCAGCCAGCTACCAAATCAGATAGTCGTCCACATGCCCGGAAAAGCATTAGACTGCGGTTTCAGCCTGTTAGGCATCATCAGCAGTGCGCATCCATCAGATCCATCAGCATACTAATCCATGACCACCAGCGGCTTGAACCGCAAGTTAGCAGCTTAATCCCCTGGGCCACGGGGGATAGCTTCGGACCGTCATGATTTACAAGCTAACTGCGATTTATCGCGTCTTATCCTCCACTGCCATGCAAGTTACGAAGGTTGCGGAGGACAGGGTTGGCCCCGAAAGACAAGATGTCCACTAACAGTAGCTATGTATGACATAGCATTTAGAAACTGTCAGGGCGGATATATTCTTGATGTACTCATGAGTAGGGGATTTTGACGCAGTTACTTAAGGTTCTTCGCAGCCAGCTTCCAAATCAGATGGTCGTACATGGCTACTGGTAATGGACGTCGTGACTTTCGGGACCAACCCTGTCCTCTGCAACCTTCGTAACTAGCATGCCAGTGGAGGATAAGACGCGCTATATCGCAGTTAGCTTGTAAATCATGACGGTCCGAAGCTGTCCCCCGTGGCCCAGTGGTATAAGCCGCTGACTTGCGGTTCAAGCAGCTGGTAGTCATGGGTTCGAATGCTGATGGATCTGATGGATGCGCACTACTGATGATGCCTAACAGGCTGAAACCGCAGTCTAGTGCTTTTCCGGGCATGTGGACGACTGTTTGATTTGGAAACTGGCTGCGAATAACCTCAATTAACTACATCGAAATCCCCTACTCATGAGTACACATCAGAAGGTTGAACAGTGATTGGAACAGTGTCTACATAGAGAAGAAGAAGGATCAAGACCAACAAGGAATATCGTCGTTTGCAGCCTCCAGTTTGACAAGTGGACATCAACCTGACGGATAGCAACTATCCACCATGAGGAGAACCGAAATAAGGTCAATAAGTTGAAAGAGCAACATGCCAGCTGCGATAGGAGAATAATAGTGTCACTATAAACCATACAACGCCGAAAATTATTTCCGTTAAGATAAGGCGATACAGGCGCTTGAAAGAACGGTGTATGGGCCTGTCGGCACAGAGGACACAAGAAACTGATTCTGATTAGGTCGCAAGGGTCACGCGTGGATAATGCAGCATGGAATACTGATAATCCACAACATTCACATGCAACGTTTGAAGTAGAACGTGAGAGGAAAAGAAGGAGGGATGATAAGAAGTTAAGACACTGCAAACTGAGTGCGACGACTCGCTCGCACTGCCCCACACAGCTGGTAAAGAGACACGTTTGTCGCCGTGCCGTAAACAGTCGGTAAACTGACAATGACAATAGTGATGAAATAATGGCATGGCACAGGAACAAGTGGGGATTGCAAACAGGACCGGTGAGTTAACCACCAAGTACCGGCAATCGAGTGAAAATCCACGTCCGCAAAATGTGGCGCCACTCCAATTGCAGCGAAGAAGGCTCACTCTGAAGGCTCGAGGGATGGAGGATAATGCACAAACCGGTAA